TATAATAGATAAATTATTTTATTTATATTTTATAAAATTTTGTCTAAAATTAATTACAACTATAAAAAGTTTTATTAATAGCATATTATTAATTTCTATATAAATTTTATTGTACTACCAAAATCATATGATAATATAATCTATATACCCCCTACTCTTAAATTTGCCAAATATTTATTAATTTATTAACTTAATATTACTGGTTTATTCAGCTCTAAAAATAATACAGTATATGGTAACAATTTATTGTGCTACTGCTCATTGTTTGAAGTATTATTTTTTGATATATCAAATTTACAAGTAATAAGGTTTAATATAATATGAATTAAAAATGATATTTATTAATAACCAGTATTTATTGTATCATTTAAGCTATCTAGCATATAGAGAATTTGTATATATATAATAATTAATATATTTTTTATTATTTATTAAATTTGTAACAAGCTTTATTATAATACTACTAGAAAGTAAAATTTTTGCTAAAATATAAAAGTCACAATTTTAAAATAACCAAATTTATTTATATTATTACTGATTATACTTGATTATAATTAAATTATTAGTAAATTATACTGTTTATAGCTTCATTTACAAAAGTGTAGTCTAATATCATTAAAATAATTACTTATATATATCACAAAGCTTTTTTGAGTTGGCTTAAAATTTTTTGGGTTATACAGATCGCTAAATTTGATTGGCTAACCTATATATTAATTTTATTAAAAATTTTTATATCTAATCTTTAAAAATTTATATCTCACTAAGTTTTTAACCAATTTTAATGATTTTACTACTATTAAAATCAGAAAAACCTACTTTACAAACTTTTCTTAAGAATTAAAATTAGTTTACTTAATACAATTTTTTACAAAATAAATATAAAAAAATTTACCATTAAATTTATATATAATTTTAAAATAGTACCCCTACTCTTAACTGCTATCTGTATTTAATTAGTATGTCAAGTACATATATATATTAATAACACATTGTTCTAATTAGGGCTTAACCCACTATATTAATTTACTGGCCATTTACTGCACCATTGCTATTGTTTAAAAGATTCTTTTTGATTTATCAAAGTTAGTATATTGTATATCTTATTATTTACTATACTAGCTAATTACTATTTAATTTACTATAGATTAAAAATAATACTTTTGATAGCCAACAAATTAATATAGTGAGTTAAGCCCTAGTCTTGATAGTTTTTTGTTAAATTTTTTAATTTGTATAATACTATACAAATCAACCTCTAGCATGCTAGATTATTATAAACAATTAGTCTTTTCTCTTGGACAATTGCAGTTAAAAACTATACTAATTACAGATCAAATTAACATAGTTTATATAATTTGAGTTCAGGGTTAATACTTCAAACTAGAATATCCAGAGTATTGTGAATTCTGCAAACAGGATAAATCATTAGTGAATATAGTCTTTTGTAACAAACAGGTTTTATTGATTTTTTTATATTTTTTTTTTAAAGTGTTATTTATATATTACTGCAGAATCTGCAAATTTAACAGTAATTGTAGCAGTATTCTATTTTGGCAATCTAATCTAATCTTAAAAGTTTTACTTTTCATTTATTTATTATTTTTTTTACAAAGTATTATAAAAATTTTCTGATTTTATAAAATAGAGATCTCCAAACACTTATATTTCATTTTCCAATTTTAAAGTTTTGAAAAACAAATAAGATTTTTTAAACACTTATTTAACTTCAAAATGTACCACTTATTTGTTAACTTTGAAATCCTCTAATATATATATTATTTTAGCTTTATTAAATTTATAACTGGCTTAAAAACTATACCTTAAACCATAGCTTAAATCATGGTTATAAAGCTATAGCTTAAGCCTTGAGCCTTGGTTTTTTTGAGCCAAGCTGAGCCAAGCCAGCTGTTAACATCCCTAACTATAGATTAATTAATGTTAATACTAAATTTTATTATTTACTAAATAGTATACTGTATGTGAAAAAAGCTTTTTTTATAGTATTTTTAAGATTAAAAACATTCTAAACAAAATTTTTAGAAAATTGTTATAAATTTGTTTAAAATTATTATTTAATGTAATTACATCAAAAAAAGACTATACAGTATATCAGTTATAGTACTGTATTTAACCCAAAATTTATCGCCAATTAATTAATCAAATTTTAGCTAAACTACTCGAGCAAATTAGTACATGTACAATATATTTACGTACGTACATTAAGAACTTATACGTATCTATTTAAGCTATAAAACTTTAAATAATCAAAAACTATATATAATTTTTAAGATATTATAAAAAAGCTATTTATTATATGTAATCAAAGCGATTTTCCATTACGATTACATGACATGAGAAATATTAGTATTAGTTTAAAATCTACAAAACAGGAAGCTTAAATACAGAAATATACATATGGCCTCTTTTTTGTTCTGGTTGAGATAAAAATTTGATGAAAGGTTATACATTTACAAATGTTTATAAGCAATCTTATTTTTGACATACGTATAGACTAGATATTATTTTCGGAAACATTTATTTAAACGGTTAACTACAAGAAGCTCATCATAAAATCAGAAAACTAACTGATAGATTATTTATCATCAAATTAGGGAACATTTGATACAGTATTATTGCTCTTATTACTTATTTTATATAGAACTTTCAGCTAGTAATATCCAAAGAATCAGTAGGTTCTAAAAATAAAATTATGGCTCTTATGGATTTGAACAAAATATTGACGCTTATTCCAGTCATTACTTGGACTTTAGTTTTTCACAAGTAATATCAACGTACATTACATTACCCATTATTTAAATTCTGACACTATAACACCATGACATTTTGCATTACATATTAACAAATAATTTAAGGCAATTTATTTTAAAAATCAAGAAAGATTAAAAGTTTGTAAATTAAATAAACATACATAAAAAAAAAGTTGGATTAACACGATAAAAAAAATTCTTTTTACGTATGATATACAGATAAAACTAAATGCATATTATTTTTCATAAAACAAATGTCTGAATAATCAGCAAATTATTATCAATCCTATGATACAGAGTTATTATTAAGTTTAATTATACAAAATACATTGTATTTTCGATAGAAGGTTTTACGCGTTGCCAATCACCGTTTAAAACTGTTGGACGTTCTCCTGGTTCGAGAGGACTGCCACCTCTTCCACCACCACGACCCCCACGGGCACCACGGCCTCCACGACCCCCACGACCCCTACCCCTACCTCTACCACCTCTACCTCCACGACCGCCAAAATCATCTACAATTTCATCAAATGTGACAAAGTGTTTTGCTTGATTTGCGATATGGTGAGCATAATGTACCGGAGTGACATGAGAAATAGAAAGATTACATCTTGGTAAAAAAAAAAAAAAAAAAAAATTGATTTAAAAAATTTAGTTGATTATATTGTAAAGATAAAAATATTGAAGAATGAATATAATAATTACCTGACGGACAAAAAGCATAACTTATACGTCAATTCGTACATCTCGTCAGCTGAAAAATTACCTTCGTTCAATATCACATGATAGTACGTTGACCTAGCAGTTCCAAGTGGGCTGGCATGTGATTGTAGATCTAATAATACGTGAATTAGAGTTACTAAATTTTTGATGACAACCGAATCCCAATACAGTAATATAAATTATGCTTACAAAAGCTGAAATATTGAGGTACCACAATTCCGGAATCAACTACAGTTCCTGGGAGACAATTTCCGCTTCCATTAGGACCAGAATTTTTAGGATCAACGGGCCTAAATCTATAAAAAAGAAAAAAGAAAAAAAGTGATATTATGAGCAATGATAATTTCTAGTACAATATGGTTAATATAAATAATTTACCGAGCATGATGACGTTTTTGTACAATAATAAATGTAAGCTTTGGAGGAGGCTTTGGAGAATAAAACTTTACGAATGCACGTTTTAGCAATTCAACTTCTTCATTCATAACTTTTTCGAACTGGCCTTCTGCGACACCATCACGATAGAATATAATTTGATCAGGAAGAGCACCATTTCTTCTTTTAAATTCTTCAAGTAATTCTATGGACATATCATCAATCGTCTCTATTATTTCATTTCTCAATGTTTTATTCATACGATAACGAGAAATATATGTAGTCGCCGTGGCATCCACCGAAGCACAAACAGCAGCCACAGATGGGCGACCTTTCTTATCCTCTTTGCCAGGATGGAATACATCTGCACCAAATACCATATGCTAAAAGTAAAAAAAATAAAAATAAAATAAAATAAAAAATAAGCATTTACACACACACATATATATATATAACTCATATAAGTTTATGATTTTTACTCTTTTCTCTGCCTTGAATTTGAGTTCGTTCTTAGCCAGTGAATAATTCTTTCCACCTAATTTTCCATTAATTTTAAGAGCAATATTTCCGCAAATTTGTCTCCACTTTACAATATCACCTTTCATATTTCCAGCAATTACACATTGTGATACAACACCTAAATCAACACCACAAATTTTTTTAATTTGTGGATGTATTCCAGAAGAACCATTTATTTTCCTTTGAATAGCACAAATAATTAATTGAGGTGGCCTATTTTGGTTAACTCTTGCATTTTGAGCAGCAATTGCTAACGACTTTTAAAGAAGTAAAAATAGCCAATTTAGTAATAATTTATTAATAATTGGTATTAATTAATTAATTAAAATAAATTAAAACTATATATTCACTTTTGCATAATCTCCTTGTGGATTACCATAGGTGATATTAGGTTGTTTAGTGTGTACATTCTGTAGTAAAAAATATATATATATATTAAATGTTATTTCAAATGCCAATGCTAAAATGCTAATGCTAAAATAGTAATGCAAAATTTTTTTTCACAATGATTTAATTTATAATACTTTCCAGGCCTTTTATCTCTAATGCTTCCATCAATATCTTTAATGCAGATTGGACCTGAGGCCTAGGCAAAACTTTTGGATCTTCAAAAACAACAACAGACCAATTGAATAGGTCAGCACCCTAATATAAACCAAATCGTTTATTATTAAACCAATTTTTTTTTGACATTCTTATTATTAAAAAAAAAAAAAAGAGGTACAAATATATACCTTAATAAATCTTTTAGAATCCCAAGAACCTAATTGTGGAATAATTTCAGATTCTTCATGTGAAATTAATTTCGGAGCAGGGAGTACTCGAGCTAATAAAAGTAAATACAGAGATAAATTAACAATAATAAAATTTAATAATATTTAATAACAATATAATATTACAAAATTATAATAGCTTACATTGTAATTGAACAAATTGAGAACCAACTTCCATTCCTATAGATCGTAAGGCTTCATCAGTCGAATGTTTATAAATAGTCTTATTTCCCCAACTAATTCTATCAAATCTATCTAATGGTTTTGAAGCTGTTTTCTCAATCATGTCACGTAGTTGAGCCGAATTTAGAATTTCAGTGCTATATTTTTGACCTAATAAAAACATAATTTTAAATATATATAGGAGTTAAAAAAAAAAAAAAAGATAAGGTAGCAAGATAATAAAGGCAGTAAAGATAATAAAGAAAAGAAATAAAGAAATAAAGAAATAAAGAAATAAAGAAATAAAGAAAATAAAAACTAACCAGAAATCACCACACAAATTTCTAAAGGTAAATATATATCTCCGAATTTTGGTTTTTTTGCATGCACGCATGGAAGCATAGGGTATTGTAAATTAACACCTTCACTCCTATACTGTTGAGTGACACTAATTCTTTTGCCTTGAGAGTTTATCGTAATTTCATCAGCAGATTTAAAAGTAATTTGTATAACTTTATGCTTTGGTTTTATTCCATTATTTCCCCGATAACTAGTTGTTACGTTAACATCTTTAAAAAATCTAGATATAATTTCGATTTCTTGTCTGGAAAGTCCACATCGTAAATCATCTTTTGATTTTTCTTTATCTTTAGGTGTTAGACGAAGAACTTTTGGAATAACTTCAAGCATTGGACCACTTGGATAATAAGTAGCGTGACATATATCAACATTGATAAGTAATTGATCTATTTAATATCCGATCGCGAAATAAAAAAATAGTAATTTAGAAAAATATAAAAAAATAAATAAGTGCAAAAAGAAATAAAAAAAAATTTTTTTTTTACAACATACTCCATCCAGGACGAATACTTTGCCAGTATCCTGATAAAAGTTCAACACCTCCAAGCAAGAAACGCCGTCTATTTTCATCAGGTTTTGGAAAGATAGCTTTCCTACCTAGAGTTAAATGTTGAGTACGAACCTTGGAATTAAGGAACGCGTTAAGAACAATTAAGATATTTTGAATGGTTCCATCCCAAGGTTGATCAGTCTTTTCTTTAATATATTCTCTCATTTCTTTAAGATCAAAAGGACGAGAATATTTAAGTATTGCAGTAAACCGTTTTGGACGACCAACATCATCTTGAGCTGGAACTGTGACCTATATAGACCAATAAAATTTAATTTAATTTTTTTTTTAAAAAAAAAAAAAAAAAAATTTAAAACTCAAAAATTAAAAGAATCTAACTATACATACATCAAATCGCTTAGATTTAGAACCGTTACAAAGATCAGTAACAGAATATACTAAATTTCCATCATATGCAGGTGAAGCTCTTTCACCAAATTTTTTTTCTCTGCACATTTGAAGAAATACAGCTTCTGAATCTTTTTTATTTGCTTGTTGTCTCATCTGATTTGTAATTTCTAGAGAATATGATTGAATTTGTGGGTATTGAAACTATATATATGAATAAGTTAGTATTCAGCTTTTCAAAAATAAATCAACCAGTTTTTTTACACATATACATACTTTCGTAATGGGTAGAAAGTTTGCCCATACTTGAACAGGGGTACCCTTAGTGGGCTTCTCTTCAGGCCTTTTAGCGATTGGAATTCTTGACATTTGTAAAGTCCAATTCTTCTATACAAAAAACCAGTTCTATCAGCTTGATCTCATGGTCTTTTTGACAATTTTACAAACTTTATACCTTTTAATGACACGCTTAGGAATAGCAATAGTAGAGATGATTTCGCGATAACTGATAATTTAATAATATTTTTCTTTGATTTTTACGAAAAATACAAGTACAAGAAAATAAGAAAATAAGAAATAACAAAATGGCTTAAAGATATATAAATTTGGATGCTATTAATTGGTAAACCATCTGTTTAGGAATATGGCACATGAAGTCTACGTACAACTGTGTATATACGTACAGTAACGTAAATACAGTATACGATTGTTAACTTTCATTAATCACATATGATGTGATTTTAAACAATAATATCATCCCTACTATTGCTATTACCCTGCGTTTTAAAAAAATCTATATTTTTTTTTTTCGTAAAGACAGCATACTGTAGTTTCAAATTTTAATGTGATTCGATGCTAAAGCAGTGTAAATGGACAAGTTTGGATAAGCACTTACCTGTTACAAAAAAAGAATTGAAACTTTTTTTTTTTCTATTATGACATCTTTTAAGCTTAGCATCTTTGTATATACTAAAATATAAATAATCTTGAATATGTATTAACCAATTTCTCCGATAGCCAACTAAATTTTTACAGATAGTTTAGCTCTATTTAGAGTTAGGGATGACCTAATTTAGAGTTAGCAAGTGATTGACTAATCTTAATTGTTGGCGAAATAAGACCTCAACTAAAAATAGTAAATGATTAATAGTACGTAATGATTTTAATCAGTTATGTCATTATTTGATTCCGATCCAATCATATTTGTAAAAGATAATCATCTCACATTATACAATATGATTTGATTTATCCTTTATCACACATCAGTCAATTGAATCATTAATTGTATGATTTAATCATATGATTAATCATAATGATAAAAAGACGTGAAGTACTCGTGAAGTCCAGGGCAAAAAAATTTATTCATTTCCCGCAATGTAGCTCATTGTTTCAAGTGTCTTTTTTGATACATTAATATAGATAATAGAAATAATTTGAATCAAGAACGATACTTTGAATGGTCGGAATGAATATCAAATTCGTGTCAATTTATACTGCGGTATTTACTATATGTTTAAAATAAATTGATGATATATATAATTTTAACAGCTAGGTAATTATTACTTGTGAAAAAGTAAATTATCTTCTGAAACATATTATATAAAAACAAATAATTATATCCAATAATTCACTGAAACAATTCGATATTAAGAACATACGTACGTACGTGTATTTTAATTTAAATTACCTAAATTATCAGTTATATATAAATATAAATCAGTACGTAATAAATTTAGGAATATTCTACTTAACACAGCCATATATATTCGTAAATCCATACTATACTCAGTAATACACGCAGATCTATTTATTCTTAGATGTGATTATTCAGAAAAGAATAATGCAGCTAAGGCCATGCGATTGTTCTTTATTGCGGCTAAGACTGCGCAATGGTTTTTAACCAGATAATTTGAATCACAAGATTATGTGGTTGTGAGAGTAAATTGAGATAACGAAATGAATTGAAATTTCGGGAATTTGGATATTGATTATTATTTTCACGATTAGCTTCTATTTGCCTAACTTTAACCTAACTCTGGCACATATGATTTAGGTCGGAATTAGAATTTAAATAAAAAGTCCGATTCTTAATCAGGCCGATCCTAATATCGATCGATATGGGGTACAGTATATACATAATCGGCAGTTACGGGTGACTATATCTAGAGGCTAATGACATGTACTAAGATATCTAGAAAAAATTAGCCATAAAGTTAGAATTACGTGACATTTTTACTTACTGTACGGCAATATTAAATTTCTCAAGAAAATTATGAAGCAAAAATTTTGAGTACGTACTGTACGTATGTATGTACATACATACCGATACATAAGATTATTTTTATGCCAAAGTGAAACCTGGTTGTTTTTTAATACAGATCATTTAATAAATAATACTAATACTAATAGAGTAATACTTTTTATATAAGCGGAACTTCATTTCCGACAATGCCCAGCACTAACGCCAACGGCCCAAAATATTATTATTACTAAATTCAGACCTATAACATTAGCCGCATAATCAAGGTCATTTCAGGATTTTACATCTCAAATTAAAATTATTATTTTCGTATTACTCAACTCTCTGATATCTGATATGGTGTAATTCTCAACTTATATCAAGAATATACAGATATATAACGCTAAATTTATCAGCAAATACTGTAATACGTAGTTAATCAATAATCAATCCCTTAGGATAAAGTATGTCTAATGAGACGCGTCATTGGAAGCCTTTCATAGATTAGTTTACATGAATAAAGTCAAGATATTGTAGCTAGGCATGTTATATTTATCTAATTAAAAGCAAAAGATAGTTTCTTAGATCAAATTAAGTGATCCAAATATTTGATCATATATATAATGAATCAGGTTGTAATATTTATGTTGGCTTTTTAGTAAATCTTATACTGTTATAAACTTTATTTTCACAAAAATAACGAGTTTGAAAATTTGGTTCTTTTAAAAATAGAATATTTTGCTTTAAAAGCACTCATTGATGCCCTGAGATAAGAATCCCTTACTTTCATTTATGTGATTTCAGTGCATTATGCATTTTTTATGTACGTACGAAAAATAATGAAGTTGTTAATAACCTGTGATCTTGATATGGTAATTAATGACTAAAGTTAACAATCACCCCCTTTGATTTTGTACTCAGGAACAATTAAAAGAATTAAAAGAATTAAAAGAATTAAAAGAATTAAAAGGATTAAAATTATATTTACATATTATATATCTCGAAAAATAGTATCCTTATATTTTGGAGAATATCCCAGTTGATGTAAACATTAAAGACTGACAAAGTCGAACGAAAATGTGCACCAGGTATATTTCATTTCAAGTCCTTGTAAATACCTGGATACATTAGTCAACGGTAATATGTATTACTGTATACCCATGCAGGGACTAAAGCTCAAATGTACAGATCCAGTCTAGAATTTGGAACTGGATTTATTTTTCATACGTTAAAACCGATTAAAACCATATGAAAAATAAATCTGGTTCAAAACACCAATCCAGTCAATTGAATTCATGCAATTTTGAAGATTCTGATGAGCAGTACTCTTTAATTATTAAAGCGGGAAAATTGTCTACTTGGATCTTTTAGAGAAATTAATCACCGAGTTGCAAATAGTTATGTAACTGTTGTTTGATATTTTTAATGCTTTTGTTAAGGTTTTTGTTAAGGTTTTTGTTAAGGTTTTTGTTAAGGTTTTGTTGGTATTCGTGAGGACAAAAATGATTTATGTTGTTTATAACACGTACTGTACAAAGAAATGCCAATAACATTGAGAAATTTGATTTAATTCATTAGGTAAAAATGTTTTAGCAATAAATCTTACATATATTTTTATATTATACAAAGTATAAACATTCTTAGTCTATGTTTATCACGTAGAATGTAGGTTTTCGATCTACGAAACATTGTGCGCGATTTAAAAACATCAATTTTTATCAAAAAAAGAAAAAAAAACTCTTTAATACTCTTTAATAATCAATGCTCTAAAAAAAAAAAAAACCCCTCAAAATATTTAAAATTTCACATTAAAATTTCAGCATTAGCCGCAACAATTTTTATAAAGCAAAAAAGAATTCATAGTCTAATACTATAACTTACGACAAGAATCATCAAACTACGTAATTAATGTTAATTTTTTATATTGATTTTGTAGTATTCATTTATTTATTTTTTGGCAAGTTACCAAAAAAAAATGGAAATTTTTAGAAATGCTTTATTATTAAATAAAGCATTTTTAAAAATTTTAGCATTCATAAAACCATATTCGCAAAATTTCGACATCAATAACGTTAAACTGAGTGCATTATATTTATTTCTACAACACTATACTATACTATTTCATATCGATATCGAAATATTATTGAGTTATAAATACTGAGATTTATGCAATTAAATCCCAATTTAGATCTGCAAGGATGTCAATTATTGTAATGCACTAATTAAAAAACCAGGGATATAAAAACAATGGACCCAACAAAAAAAAGAAAAAAAAAAAATTTATAAAAGACGTGAGTAGATTGTATAATAAAGAGTAAGTTGAAAAAAATAACAATTTCAAACGCATACATACTACATTCATAATGACCAAAAAAAAAGAGCTTTTTTTAATTAGTACACTACAGTATTTGTTCCATTTTGCAGAACATTTCTTGAAATAAAATTTTATCTTCTTGGAGGTTATCTAGCTAAATTAAAATTTCAAAGCCGTTCTCTATTTATGGTAAAATTTATAGTGAAATTTTAATATGCATTATCATATAACGATATTTTTTTCAAGTTTTCAGTTCAGTGTTGTGCACTATTAAAATTATTTAGCAGAAAATTTTCTAATTTTTTCTCATCAAAAATTACATCAAAATGATTTTTAATCAACAATTACAAAATAATTGAGATCCCCTTAAAGTGAATCCTTTATTTAATGTAAACCTGCGTATATCAAAATCGAGTTTTTTTTAAAAAAATTATTATTATTAAGCAATTTCTTTCTCTAATTCGTTTTTTATCTAAAGCACATAAATGCAATTATGTTAAATTTGGCATAAATTTGTTAAAGAAAATGCGATAATTTTTTTAATGTATAAAATGTTTATAAATACGACTCCAGTTTTTATTATTCAAAAAATTAATGATAAAGTAATGTGCGTTTCTTCTTTACGTGTAGCAACATAAAACACTCAAATCGAAGAAATTTTTCCCTTGTTATTCTTAAATAAAAAAAAAAAAAAGCAAAGTCATGTTTCAAAATAAATTTCTCTTTTTTCTTTATTTTGTTATTACCTTCGTTTCTACTGCCAATGTAGTTGCCCAAGGATCTGATCATCACAATGATAATACGGCTGTTTCCATCCAAGTTCCAATTACTCCAGAAATAGTTAAACAATTAGGTGATATAATATCTGCTAAAGGTGCGGCACCTTCTGTGGATTCGCCGTCTGCTAAAGGTATGAGTCCTTCTGTAGAAACGTCGACACCTACCGATCAATCTGAAAGTGAGGAGTCTCCTACTGACAATTATAAAGACAATTCTAAAAGCTCGGGAGTTTCATCTAATATACCTAATGGCATGAACAAACAAAATGTAGCGGCTTCTCCAACTAATGTTGGTCCAATTAAAAGTCATTCACCTCTACTGAGTACAACGAGTAACGCACTTGTTAGTCCATTACCTACTCCGCAACAAAATGGTAAAAATCCACCTCTTCCAACAGTCTCTCAATCTCCTATTGCTAAAAGTCCATCTCCTATTCCTAAAGCTCCTTTACCTACTACTTCACCAACAATTTCAACCTCAAAAGTATCTCTTGCTGAACATACTTCTATTGAAAATTTCTTTTTTGTGATTTTTACTACATTTCTTTGTTTTTTCATTGGAAATTTTATTATTTTTGTTTAGATAATTTTTTACGTTTAAATCTTTTTTAATAAATTTACATGATTATGTTATAAAAAACATTTATTTCATAATTAGAAAAAAAAAAGAAGCTATTTACTATTCTTTTCCTTGTTCAAATTATAAATAAAATACATCAAAATTTAATTTTTTTCTTTTATCATGATTTAAATTTTTTTTTTTTTTTTATAATTGTAGTGAAATTTGACTGGTAAAATAAATTTATTGATCTTTATTACATATATACTAATACATATATATATATTATGTTATTTATAGTCAGTTAGAAAGAATTATACTGTATGAAGCAAGTATTTTACTTAAATCACATGTGAAAACAGAATTTTTTTAAAGAAAAGGTCTCTGTGCCATCCGGGCAGAGATGACGATTTGTTGTGATCACAGGAAACATGATTTTTTTCTTAAAAAACAGCTAGCACGGAAATTGAAATTGACCTTGATACCAAAGAAATACGCAAAATTCTAAAGAAATACACATTCTAAAGAAATCACACTTAATCGCTCACAGGATTAAGCCAATAATGGCGAAAGGTTTCGGGAAGTTAGGATAATAAAATAAGCACATTAAATCACAGAATATGCATAAGTTTATAATTTGGCTTCCAATTTTCTAGTCGAAGTATAGGACGCGGCTCTTCTATAATCGTCAAAATCTTAGTTTTTTTAAATAATAAATTATATTTGCACATTTTATATTTAAGCAAAAAACTAACACTATTATCACAAAATATGTCAAAAAAAAACAGCACATAATTTTTCTTAACCATACACAGAATTGGTCTTTGTCGCAGTACTCGTATCAACTCGTGAACTAAACCCAGAAAAGTCTCGAATCGTCACAGCAGAAAATCATAATTTAAAATTTTTTCTTTGACATAATAAACTACGTGTTCCGTACCTTATTAATGACAAGCGCATTTTTTCGGTTAAAATATTTCCACTAATTATTAAAATTTAATTCACTGACAAATTTCGATTCATTGGTTAAGGCGTTTGAGAATACTTTAGCATACAAATAAATAAAAAGGTTATTCTGAATAGCTATCCTATTTGACGAAATCGAATAATCTTTTTACAGAGTAATTATTTATATATTTCACCTTATAGATATTAGGATGCAGTTTATTTTACGAATTCACGAATTTCGAATGTACATTTTCTTTTCGAGTAAATGCTTGATTTTTGGCTTTTAGAACAGAAGCTTGTCGAATTTTTGTTTAATATATATTTTTAGTATTCGATCAAGGAACTCATGAGCCAAAAAATAATGGGTTAAATTACCATAATTATAAGAATAAAATTTCAGAAGATACTTAAAGAGTAAACATTGTTTTTTTTGTTTCACACTTATTGTACGTAATCAATTAAAGTTGTTTTATTGATATCTGATATAATTTATAGTACAGTAGTATTCTAGAAATTCGAAATAACAATTTAATATAATGATAGTATTTATTTGAAGGCTTAATCGGTGTCAGCCAATAAATTTTAAATTAAAAGGAGTTTGAAAATTGCGTCAAATTCAAAAAGTTCACACTATTTGTCAAAAAGCGGATCCGGTACTGGTTGACTTACTAGAAATATGTTTAAGAATTAGTTAGTTAAATCAACTTCTTATAAATACTGACTCTCAGTAATATTGATGCTCAATATAGAATGACCAATTAAATTAAATTCAATAAATCGATCTTCAAGGAATAAACGATAATAAAGTTATAATCAATGATTCTTGGGATTTATCCGTTGCATATTGTGAGTCAGTGTACATTAAAGTACAATTTAGGGACAGCGTTTTGAGAGATAGTATTCTTACCTAGATTTACCGGTTTAGGGAGTTCTTGAAATTTCAGAAGCCGGCTTGTGTAAATAGCCTGCGGATGTGCCTGATAATTGATTCTTACCGAGTTTACTTGGTTATATGAATTTCTATCTGAGGCTTCTATCTCTTTAACCTGTTTATATAATTCGGTTGTTTCTATATTCAAATCATAATAAAATTGTTTCAGTTTATTAACTAATTCCTCAGCAGTTGGTCTGTTATGAGGTTCGGCATCTAAACATTTATTCATTAAATTCAAAAGTGGTTGAGGAACTTTGCACTCAATTTTAGGTCTGTAGCCTTGACAAATAGATAGTACTAGTTTGTAATCATGTGGAATATCATGATATGGAGGATATCCAGTAAAAACTTCTGACATAATTATTCCGAAAGAATAAATATCCGATTTTTGTGTGTATTCCTTTCCATATGTATATAATACTTCTGGATCAATATAAGGAAGTACACCAAAAAGTTCCTTAGAATTTGAATCATGTGACACCGGCTTACATAAGCCAAAATCAGTAATGTGAGAACTAAACATATTTGTATTAACTATATTTCCGGAATGAAAATCTTTATGCACTAATCCGGCTTTGTGAATTGTATTAATTAGCTATGTAATATAAGTTAGCTATTTTAGAAGCCCAATCTAATTCATCATATTTACTATCTAACAATTTTCGGAGACTTCCCTGCTTCGCATACTCCATAACTATCATGTAATTACCATCTTTTGGGTTTCTAGTTATTCCATAAATCGCAATTGCCGATTCGTCCCCATGTTTATGTTGATTTTTAACCTAAAATATTAATTAGGATAAATAAGATTACTACACTTTAATAATCGTAAATAAAGGTTCATACGTTCATACGTACTTCTTCTAAAAATTCTTGTTTTATGCCTTCAGAATTATCAAGACTTTTTAAACAAGCATTTACTTGCGAACTTCTCACCCATTCATTCTTCTCCTGATCAAATCCTGTAATATATCCATCAATCCATACTGCCTTAAACACAGTGCCAAAACCTCCCTTAGCAATATATTTTATATTTGCGAATTTGTTAAAGGGTATCCATTCAATAATGTCTTTAAAATGCTCTGCATTAAGTTGTGCATGTTGAATTAATTGATCAATGTCATTATGATCGCTTGTCCAATTAGAGAATTCTTTTTTAAATCTTAATAGAATGTTGAAAAACAATAAATATAATAATTATAATCAAACTAACATTTATAAATTTAATTAAGTTCTCTGTCACTGTACTTACTCGCTATGGTGACATACGTGATTTAGGTAGGGTTATGTTAGTTTTGTAATGGACTTATCGTGATTTGTATAGTAAATAGTTCGGTTACTATACTTACAGACTATTGTGGTTGCGTAAGTGATTTATATAGTGTTATGCTAGTTTTGTAATAGTGATTTGCTATAAAAGCTCGGTTACTATACTTACCGACTATTGTGGTTGCGTAAATGGTTTAGATAAGGTTGAGTTAGTTTTGTAATGGACTTGTCGTGATTTGAATAGTGATTTTTTGTAAAAGTTCGGTTACTATACTTACTCGCTATATTGACACGTGATTTAGGTAGGTCATGTTAGTTTTGTAATAGACTTATCGTAATTTAGTGATTTACTGTAAAAATTCGGTTACTGTACTTACAGACTATTAAGGTTTCATAAATGATTAAGGTAAGGTTATTGTTAGTTTGTAATGGACTTATCGTAATTTGTATAGTGATTTGCTATAAAAAGTTCAGTTACTGTACTTACCGACTGTTGTGGTTGCGTAGGTGATTTGTATAGGGTTATATTAGGTTTGTAATGGACTTATCATGATTTGTATAATGATTTGCTGTAAAAAGTTCGGCTACTGTACTTACCAACTATTGTGGTTACATAAGTGATTTATGTTAGTTTGTAATGGACTTATCGTGATTTGTATAGTGATTTGCTGTAAAAAGTTCGGTTACTATACTTACCGACTATTGTATTTGCATAAGTGATTTAGATAAGGTTATGTTAGTTTTGTAATGGATTTATCATGGGTTATAGTGATTTGCTGGTTAATATACTTACAGACTATTGTGGTAACATAAGTGATTTAAATAGTGTTATGTTAGTTTATAATTATTTGTATAGTGATTTGTATAGTGATTTGCTGTAAAAAGCTCGGTTACTGCACTTACTAACTATTGTGGTTGCGTAAGTGATTTAGATAGGGTTATGTTAGTTTGAAATGAACTTATCGTGATTTGTAAATATAGTGATTGCTGTAAAAAGTTCGGTTACTGTACTTACGAGCTATGGTGGTTGTGTGATTTAGATAGGGTTGTTAGTATTTTAATGGACTTATCGTGATTGTATGTTGATTCGCTGTAAAAAGTTCTGTTACTGTACTTACAGACTATTGTGGTTGCATAAATGATTTAGATAGTGATTTAGATAGGGTTATGTTAATTTTGTAATGGCTTATCGTGGTTTTATAATGATTTGTTATAAAATGTTCAGTTACTGTACTTACCGACAATTGTGGCTGCGTAAGTGATTTTGATAGGGTTATGTTAGTTTTGTAATGGACTATCGTGATTAGTATAGTGATTTGCTGTAAAAAGTTCGCTACTTACGAGCTATAGTGATATACGCGATTTAGATGGGATTATGTGATTTGCTGTAGAAAGGTCGGTTACTGTACTTACCGACTATTTGGTTGCGTAAGTGGTTAGATGGGATTATGTTAGTTTTGTAATGGACTTATCGTGATTTGTATAGTGATTTGCTGTAAAAAGTTCGGTTACTGTACTTGCCGACTATTGTGGTGATTTAGGGTTATGTTAGTGACTTATCGTGATTTGTATATTGATTTGCAGTAAAAAATTCGGTTACTATACTTACAGACTATTGTGGTTACATAAGTGATTTATGTTAGTTTGTAATGGAATTTGTATAGTGGTTTGTTGTAAAAAGTTTGGTTTACTGTACTTACAAACTATTGTGGTTACGTTATTTAGATAGGGTTATGTTAGTCTTGTAATGCGATTCGTGTAGTGATTTGCTGTAAAAGGCTTGGTTATGTACTTACGGACTATGTGATTTAGATAGGGTTATGTTAGTTTGTAATGGACTTATTGTGAATTGTATAGCGATTTGCTATAAATA